CATTTAGGAGAAATATACTACATATAATTCTGACAACAGCTTTTTACTTGGAAGTAACAGTCATGGGCATCCATGGCAGGTTGTCAAATCTGAGAAATGGTAGCTACAGTGGTGTGATTTAGCATAAAGAATGTACAAAAAGGATATAGGATTTGGATTATGACATTGTGCTATTATGTTTTGGTAGGCCACCCAGAGTTGGTTATGTACGCAAATAAACACAAGACATTCAAGACTCTAATGTCTAGATACCACTGCTACTGATTGGAACTGTTCTTGCAGCTAGGTATGGAGCCAGTCAAAAATATTTCCCCAGTTTATGAAACAGGAAAAGGTCATAATCAAGGCAGTGTTTTCCAATTTCATCAGCTTTTAAGGTGCATGGACTTCAGCTCCCAGAATTCTTCAGCCAGCATGTTCCCTGAAGAATTTGGGAAGTTGAAGCCCATATATCAAGTTGCCACAATGGTATAGAAGGCCGCTGAACAGCAAAGGAAGAACCATGTTTAACTTTTTCCAAAAGGTAACCTGTCAGGTTAAAGTTATTTTGAAATAAACTGGGTCTAAATGAACCCAAATCAAAATGGTGGTAGAAGTATAAAGGTTTTGGGGTGTGTGGAGATGAAGATTATGATTATTAATGAGATTTTAAAACTAAAAAAAAGAATTAATCATATGGGCATGATTGTAGGATCATTACATCAAGTGAAAAGAGATCTCTTTTCACTTAATGCTCTTAAAAGTCAGAAATCAATTTTGAACATGATTAGAAACAAAATATGTTGCCTGTCTAGAGAGCATAGACAGTTGTAAATTTGAAACGAACTGGGTATGAACATTTTGGATAGACATCTATTATTTATAAGTGTAGGATTTCAAATATCCAGCTACTGTATTAATTGGGTTGTAATATACAGAAATCATATAACTGTATACTAAAATGTTTTTTTTTTGTGTGCTAGAATTTCTTTTATATTGATTATAGAGTATTTATCAATTTATCAGTCATTAATTTTTAACATTGCTATAATACATTGTGTGGATAAAAAGAGTCTATGAAAGACAGAAATCCCAAAGTGAGTAGAAAATACTGTAATATATTTTTCCTAACTGCCTGATAATTTTATTTATCTGTTACATGTTCAATTCATGTCTTTAAATATACTGTGAGACAAGAGGATTGTATCCAATCCATTAATACAAAGTAAAACCCCATTTTAATCCTTGAGCTAATATCAAATAAAATACTTTGATTTTACATGAATTTTTCTACTGATTGAACAATGAAGTCTGTTAGTGTTTGTGCAATTGCTAGGGAAACATGCAGCCAAAGGAAACTATGTTATATTTTGTAATTTTTCTGCTACTGTATACAAAATGTTTCATATTTCTATTACATATAGTATTTATTGTATTTCCCAAATAATAACCCATCTTCATTTCTAGCTAGGCAAGTTAAAATAATCACATTTGAGTGGAATATTATCCCTTATATTGCACCTGATGTAAGAAAGCTAAGAAAAAACAATGCCATACTGTCACTGAATTTTCAAAAGATAAATTCAACAATACCAGAAGTTTTTTTTTTAATATTATAGATATATTTATATTATGTACATTCTGGAATGATAAATATTAACTTGTGCCAGAAAATTAACATTCTCTATATAATTTAAACAAGTATTTTTGAACTTATTATTTAAAGTAACTTAAACATTTATAAATAATAATATTAATAATAAATGTATGCATTTATTGCACTGTATTAATTTCAGAAATTAAAAAAGCTGAAATATATTTATTAATATATTTAATATATATTGTTCTAATGAAAAGGCAGCTGCCATTGGAATTGACTCACTATAATCTTAGTGGCTACTATACTTGTCAATACTCTAGAATAACCTCTGTTGAGAGATTTGTTCTCTGCTCCTGTCCATCAATGAAAGCTACCATATGCCTTGTAAGCTGTTCTAGGAACCAACTGAGTTTAAAATTAGTACAAAAAGAAAAGAAAAAGCAAAACAAATACTTGACACATTGTTTTCTTTTGCTCCCAAAGGCACAATTGAAAAGGTTCAAATATGTAAATAAATACCTAAGACATAAAGTATAAGGCATTCTATTTGGAAAATGTAGTTGTTATAGTATGGATTGCCTGCATCAGCAACATCATCAGAGAAGGTGATATGATGTTTAAGACATCTCAATGGCATGGTTATATAATTTCAAATGGACCAGTATGTCACATACATCATGTCTGTTTATGTAAAGTGCCAAAAATGTGTTATAGGGACTGAACTCGGTGAAGTCTATTTTAATAGCTAGCTAAATTTTTCATTTTCTTATCTTAACATTTTTAAATGAAGACTTTAAACTTCAACTGTTTTGGAAATCATGTATATATGGCTGTTAAGCTAAATTTATAAAAATAGTATGCTTTCACTTATAATTTGTGAGGAAGAAAGAGATCCAATTAGACAGCAGAAAACTGCCCATGTGATTTCAGAATGCATCTATTAAAAATGGATAACCATAAGCTTGCTAATGATCCTCAAGTTAAACACATCTTCCAAGGCACCAAAATGGAGTAGTAAATAAATCTTGATGAAAAACAGAACTGGTTCATGTATATTAACAATTGAGCAACAGCTTTTAGACAGACTATGCACAACAAATAATTTTAATATTTGAAATTTGCATAGTATGAGCTACCAATTGTAGATTCTAGTCTAGCTACTGACTAGCAATCTAAAACTCTACTAAAATTACTATCTTCCAATGGGCAAAAAATATTTTAAATGAAATGAAATAATTAAGAGAAGCTTCTCACAGCTTAGCAGCTAGTCCTAAAGTTCACCTATAGTTCTTCTGTGCTATCCTGTTACAGAATGGAAAATCTGGAACCTGGATTTTGTCATAAACCTCTTAGAAACCTAAAACTTTTCAGATGCAGAGAAGATGTCATAAACCCTCTTCTAAATCCACCTTTACATGAAAAGCAAACAAGCAAAGCAAAGTAATAAATCTTTCTGCCCCCTTTTCTTCTTATGTTTTATCTATACACTATTGGCATTCTATATTTTTGGACAGCCTGACTTTTTACATTGGGAAATGCACTTAGATTATTTGAAGCTCTGAGCAAATAGTGAAGTTTATGGGCAGAAGTAAAGATACAGAAATAATAAGAACAAGCATCTTTCAACATCTATGAGTGCATCTTCTCAGAGCAATTTCACAAAAGTTATACAATGTATCCCTTTCATTTCCCTTTGCCTCTTTCCTTGTGATACCATCATTGGTGGACAGATAAGATTCAAGCCTACAGTAAAGCACAAGTATAATGAATACTTAATACTGTAAGAATACAATTGAATATATTTCTAATTCTACTAAATAATACATGGAGAATAATCACATGAATTGGTTACTGTATTTTTGCTTTACATCCATATAACATGGACAGGTTTAGGTGCATTAATTACACGTTGAGGTGATCTCAAGAATTACAATGTCATTCCTGAAAAGTAACTTTTCGGTACAGCTAGGCAACGTAACACTTCTTTTATAAAGTTGTTCCAAACAGATTAAGCGATTGCAAGGGCAAGTACAAATTCTTGAGTGGTCCTCTTGATGTAGGTGTGGCTTATTCGCACATTAACATAGTTGGCATGCTAAACATCGAGGGATGTATTTCTGGGTAAATAACGTGAAGACGAGACTCCCAAAATGATTTTTTAGCAGTTTTGGCTCTGCCCTGTGAATGTCAACGCATATATGCTTGTTGCTTGGCTTCTTTTTCTTTTTCTAATGCTCTTCCTCTATTTCTGTATTGACAACAATTGCACGTGAACGCTAAACAGGCTCGGAGGCACTTTTTAATCTCTCTTTCTTCTCTCCTCCCCCCCCCCCCCCGCCCCCGGAGAAAAAGGGCGCCCGGACGACGCCTTGCCCCGCCGAGCGGCAGCTGAGGCACGACCCCCGGGGAAGCCCCTCTCCTCAAACTCTCAGCCTGGGGCGCTGGGGAGAAGCCCGTAGCCCACCGGGGGGGCTCGCGGACCAAACTCGTCCCCGCCGCCTTCCCCTCGCCAAGCCCCTCCTCCCTTCGCTCGCCCTTTCGCCATTCCTCCCCGCTCCAGCCGCCCGTCTCCCAGGCAGAGCTGCTCCCGCTCCCCCCCCCCACTCCATCCCCAGCCCCCGCACGGCTGCGAGGCGCGACGGCTGGCACTCGCCAAATCCGAGAGCGCCAAGCAGAGCGCCTCGGATTGGCAGTTCCTGAGCCCGGCCCGAGGGCTTCCCCGGGGCCGACCGGTCGGCCCCTGCGGGAGACGGGATGCTGCCCTAGATAGGCCCTGTGCTCCGCTCCGGCGGGGCGCGCTTCGGAGGTTCCTCGCGCGCGCCCCGAGACCCCTCTCCCAAGGCTGGCGCTGCGCGGGAAGCGCAGCTCGGGGAGAGGCGGCGGCGGCTCCGGGAAAGGCACGGCGGAGCAAGAGGGAGCCCGCGAGGAAAAGAGCCACAAAGCGCTCTCTCTTTCTCTCTCTCTCCTCTTCCTTTTTTTATCCTCCCCTGTCTTTTTTCTCTCCTCACCCTCCGGCTGCTCTCCCTCCCTTCCTCCTCCACTTTTTTCTGCCCTTCTCTCCACTCTCAAACTCTCCCCCCTCCTCTCTCTCTTTTCACACACACACAAACATACACCACGCGCACACGCTCCTTCTGTCTTTTTTCCCCCTCTCTCTTTCTCTACGCCCCCCAACCCCCCCACTACACGCGCGCGCGCGCTCTCACACCCGCGCGCCCTCCCGAGCCGAGCCGAGCCTTTCCTCGGCTCCTTCTGTTCCTGTCATCTCCGCTCCTTGCCTGGGCAACCCGGCGCGCTCCCTCCCTCGCTCGCCTGCCCGTCTCCCTCCTTCTGCGCTCTTCCACTTCTCCCCCGTCTCTCTTCCCCTTTCTGCCTCCGCTCTCTCTCTCTCCCCCCCCCCGATCCCTCAGCCCGCCGCGCACCTACTTACCTTGCACCCCCTTTTCACACCTTCAGTGCACCTGAGCACCCGAAGAGCGGCGGGCGGCGGCGGCGGCACGAAAAGCACCGGCGGCGAGCAGCATGTCCCGAAGGAAACAGAGCAAACCCCGGCAGATTAAACGTAAGTTTTCCAAGAGCGTGGGGGGGGGAGGGGGGCAAGGAAAGGGGGCTGCGGGGAAAGAGGGGATGTTTCCCATGGGTGCTTTTCTGGGATTTTTTCGCTTTCTAAGGCTTGGCTAAAAATAACAAGGAGAGGGGAAGGGATGGGAGGGGGGCAAAGGAGGAGGAGGAGAGCGGGGACAGAGAACAGCTGAAGTGCGAGCGCTCCGGGTCGAGTTTGGAAAGGGCTCTTTCTCTTTGGAGATCTGAGCTTGGACCTTCCTCCCCCCCCCCTTTTTTAAAAATGGTTTTAAATCCTCCTTTTTCTTTAAAGATCTTTTTGCTTTGAAGGGTTGCTGGACAGGCTGGGCATTTGGGAAAGTTAGCATTAAACTTCACTCCTAGGAGTGGCTGGCTGGCTGGAGAGGGGTAAATGGCTTTTTACGCTCAGAGAACTTTTTCTCTTTTCTGGGAAGCGGGCGGCTGGAGAGGTATTTGCCAACAAGCCGTCCCGAGGCGGGTGCTGGGCGAGAAAAGAAAATGAATCGCCCTGGAAAGCAGCCCAGAGAGCCAACTGAGCGCGTGCAGAGTGCTATTTCTTCTTGCACCCCTCCCCCCTTCCCCTTTCCACTCGCAGCGAGTTCCTTGCCACCAGGCTAAAGGCACGCGTGTTATTCCTGGGGGATGGGGAGGGGGAGAAGGTGGCATCACGAAGCAGCAGCAACGGCCGGACTATTTTGGGAGGGGTGGGATGGGGGAAACAGCACCCTCCTCCCCAAACTGTTCCTTAGCTGGGAGTCGAGGCTTCTTTGCAAAACTTATTCCAGCGAATTCCCGTCGCTCGCAAGCAAGCAAGCAAGCAAGCGGCGCGCGTGGAGGTTTTAGCAAGCGCCCACTCGTGATTTTATTAGGATAGAGGTGGCCCGGGGAGGTGGAGCAGGTGAATGAGAATCAGACCCTTTGGCATCCTTTCCCTTCTCGCTTTCCCCGCCCCAGCCTGGGACAGACTTATGATGTCAACTTCCTCAACTTTTCTGAGCGCGGAGATTCCTTTTTGTTTTGTTTTGGGCTTGGTGTCTCTTCAAGTAACCGGAATTAACACTACGTATTTACAAAAAAATTCCTAAAGGGGAAAAAAAAAAAACCAGTGGCCAAAAATCTTTTGAATATCCCAACCTCTCATCCAAAACGCCTTTCAAAGAGACTTGTCACGTGACCTAACCCATTCCTTTCTCTCGCTTTCTGGTTTTAAAAAGCACACAGAATCGGGATTATTATTTTTTTAAAAAAACTGCCTCGGAATATGAATTAAAGAGATTTGGCGATAAGGATAAGACTTCTCAAGGGTCAAACTGTCCCAGAAAAATCTGGATTAATGTCATAAAAAGAACGGTGCTTCTCCGTGTAACTTTCTGATACTCTCGTTTTAGCAAACACTACTTCCATAGCTTTAAAATATTTTTGTAACTTTCACTTTGTTAAGGCTCCTTGCCTTTTAGGAATAACTTCTGATCCTCTTTGCTTCATCTTTTGCTAAGGAAAAACTGTTCACTTAAGCAGTGTTCAGCCAGGAATGTTACTGACTGGATGAGCTTTCTACTGCATAATGTGAATGGTGGCTTGGTTGTTAATAAATAATTAACATTAATTGGTCGCATGATGCGACCAGTCTATTTTTTTTTCATACTTCGTTATCTCCCAGTTTAACTGTTAAATGTTTTTATGCCCATCTTATAATGTCAGATAAAGGCTTTTGCACTAATTGAGGCTATTGAATACTGTGATAGATCCCAAGCCAGTTTCTATACCTTTTTTCTTCCTTAGTAAGATGTGTTAAATTAAAGGAACCAAATCCATTGTTTATTATTATTGACGCATGTAAATATTTATGTGCATGCTTGTCTAGATGTAACACCCACGCTATGGGGCCATTAGGGCTGTGCAGTATACTTTGGCTAGCGTTGGGGTTTAACACTATCAAGAACTTTGAGTGCTATTTTCCACTACTCAAATTTACTCTCTCTTTAAAAATAACTAGAAAGATTTTTAGAGGAAGAGGAATTCTTATGTTTGGAGAATCTGTAGGGATTTAGTAGGAGAGAGAGCGAGCGCTAAAAAGTCATTATGGCTGAGACTGGATTCTGCAGATTTTTCTTCTTCAACAGTGTTGCCTGCTCACACCTAAACTCTGGCCATAATCATTTCCTGAATATATTTAAATATTTAGCCCATGTGCAATTCCCCAGAACCGTGAGGGAAAATGCACACCATCCCTCCTAGTGAAACAACCCCTGGTGTGACCATCATAGTTGACAGCTAAAATAATAGGAAAGCTACTGGGGAGAGTAAAGCAGTACTTTTAAGTCTGAAATCTCAGTTGGCAAAGAAGTCTTGCTGATAAACTATGCACAATTTAGAAGCTGTATGACGAAGGGTAGAAGGAAGTCAGAAAAACTCCCAAGACAGTCAGTTCAAAGGACAAAAAGGTTGTTGGGCACAATTTTCCCTCTTTTACTTCATAC